TTTTTCCGCGTAAATTCATAACTCGGGGTTCTGAGATGCTAGAGAGCTGGAATCTTAGGGGGGTGTCAAAATAAAAATGTCAAATTAGGAACCGTATTTCATGTCGTACACCGTTGATCGTAGCCGAAATTGGCGGTCCACCAAATGCACCTTTGAAAGCATAGTCGCCCATATACAGCTCACGCGAAGGCGCTCCAAATCTGTAGCACAGAAAAATTAATTAGAAACAAAAAAAAAACAGTGGTTCAAACTCCCAAAGCACAACTAATGGAGACAAAACTGCAGAGAGGAGGAGGGCGGGGAAGCAGAAAATCGGTACTGCTGAGAATGGCCAGAATTCCAGCACAGTATCGGTACAGCGACATGCCAAGGAGCTATTCTTGACTTTTTTGCCTTTATGCAAAGGACCCTCTGGAAGTCACATGCTGAATGATTGCATTCTTCCTCAACGATGCTACGAACTGCGGTTAAGCTACTCCAACAATATGCTTATTCAGGACGGAGGAAGGGAGAAGAGGGGAAGCGGAGGAAGGCGGGGCGGAAGAAGGGGAGGAGGGGAGGGGAAGCAGCGCCACAGGCACCAGTGCCCGAGTCTGTTCATAAATAAAACTAAAGTGACTTCAAGTAGCAGTGTTACAATCCTATTCCTAGTTTTTGCTTAGTTCCAGGTCGCCTTGGATTCGCCTATGACTCCAGCTCATGAAAAATCGGTCCGAATGTGACACATTTCATAAAATTGAACCAAGTTCTACCTATTACTTTTTATGCAACGACTTGGAGCAAACCAAATTCGCCAAAGTAAGCAAAATGACCGCTGAGATTTAGTTCCCTTGCGACGGATACTTTGATACTTTGCCTGACGATGGCTGTTCTAATGTGGCATACGTTCATGCTACAGAAAGCAGCTGACAACGTTCGCATGGCTAATACTGTGAACGAATGATCAATCGTAATCATAGAAGCTGACGACTTCTGCTAGCATTCTACGGTCAGAAATCCCAACTCAATTTCTCAGTTTTAATATTTTTCACGTTATCAACTCGCACTCCTATGTTCCTACATTACTACGCTTATGAGCTGTTAGTCGTGCAATAGTAACCGAACGGAACAACGGCAAATGTGTGACATTCGGACTAACCGAACATATCTATGAGTGCAGCATCTTACATCAAAACTAAACAAATTTTATTTGCGACCCATCCGTTTTAATTTCATCCCCCGCGGGCACCTGAGTGTTGAGTATGGATGTTCCCAGCTCATGTGCGACTTAAAATTATCAAAATCAACACCCGGACTTGCGTGGTTGTCACGTACGACCCCATGGAACCAAACCGCGGAAAGGGTCGAGAGGCACGGATTCAACAGCGGCACGCTGCCACCCCCCAGGAAAACTTGATAATACCGAAGTGCTGTCGACTGTATTCATGTCATCCCTATTTCATAATCGGGGAACTCGAGTCAAAAGACGGGATATTTGCATACCACATGGGAGCACAGGGCAGTCAGGAAAAAGAGGACGAGATCGGCCGAATTCACTTCTGTTTCTTCCTTTTACAGCTAATGAGACTGGGCAGTTGATGGATGAAAGGTTACTCATCGGAACAATTCACTCAGTGAATTACCTCAGCACATGCTCAATTCCGTCGATTAGCACCGGTTTTTTCTCACCAAATGCCATCTGGTAAGCAACGCCATCAATGATCACATTGCGTGGCGTACCCGTAAAATAGATCCTAAAACGAAACAGTTTCAAATCAAATCGAGACACTCAGTTGTCTCGCTGCTGAAACACACAAAAACCTAAATTCAGGACCCATTTACGCTATTATACACTTCGATTTGGCACCGATAACAGATAGCAGTTGGACGAAATGAATAGCCGAATTCCATGACGGCTTTATGAAGAACAGCGGACAACGGCTGATCCAATAATGTGAATTTCTGGAGGCGGAAAGCATAAGATCGTCAAAACAAAGCGCCAACGTAGCCGATGGAAAAGTTGCCGTCTGCGCAGATGAAGATCCAGGGCACGAGTTAAAAGTTGTTTCAATTACAGGTAATACTTCCCACAACTTCAACGGCATAGTGAGAGACGCCGCTGAAGCAGTGCACAGCTGGACTACTCAATGTAGTGAGGGAGAAACACAACAGATGGACAAAGTGGACTGCTTAACAATGCCTACGTGATGATTAATGGGAAATTTTAAAAGAAAAGTACGATATTTAAAATTAAAATTAATTTGGAAATTACAAGTGCAATCTGTGTATGTTAGAAAATTAGAATAAAATTAATTTATAAGGGCTATTTCAGTGCAGTGGCCAATAGAAGTGCTTCATTAACTGAATAGGAATGTTTCGGTCCATTCAGTTTCACAACTGGACTTCGTCAGTAACTGTTGCAAGGAGGACGAAGAGGCAAGAAGGATGCACTCGATCGTCTCTCTCTCCGTTTTGAGTAGAGAGCGAGCTGAGAACGAAGAAGTTGTCAGCTGCAGCAGCATCGATGATGAGCACTTGTTGTTGTTGTTCAAAGTATCAAAGCATGAAATTTGCAGACAGAATTTGGCCTGAAACTATAAGTGACTCAAACCTGTGAGGCAATCCATTCCGTTCGATCACCGGCACTT